AAAAAAAAAAAAAAAAAGACACGTGAATTTTGAAAGGCCTTAAGACTCTATTACAGATGATAGTGGATGGGGTAACACTTATCTCAGCCTAGTAGAGAACTGTGTTTTTAGTGCTAAATATCCCAGGCAGAAAGCCTGCTAACAGCCATAGTGGGCTCACTGGACAAACTTCTCCAGCCCACATGGACATCATGTCTCATCCCATCTCTGAAACGACTATATCTATTCAGTCACCACCTCTTTCCTGCCCATGGTCAGTTCTTCTAGCCAGTTGCTAAGTACAGACAGTCAAAAAGCCTGAAGCTGAATTGATTCAGTCTTTGCAGGTTAAACTAAGCTGCAAAGATTGAACCAATAAGCAAATGAACAGACATTCACTTCTGATTCAGGAAGTGCAGCCATATGCCTCCAATGGCTCAACCCAGAGGCACAGGGGTGCTAGAACATGGCTGTGTGGCATGTAGCCAGCATGAGCTGTGTGTTCACTTCCTCTTTCTGCTGTCCCTTAGGTCACTTGGAATCGCAGTCCAGAATCACAGTCACAAGACTCTGCAGAGCTGCTTATCACTTCCTCTTCCTGCTTCCAGGTGCCTCTGGGATTTGTAGTCCACAGTTGCAGCCAGCAGTATGCAAGCAGAGCAGGGCATGGCAGCTCTGTGATCAGAGGAGGGGGATTTTAACCCCTCTCCTTGGCCCCAGACCTCCGCCAGGGTTTGCTGGGGGGAAGGGGGGCTGTGGTAAGGCACCTTTGGCACCCACTACTTTAAGGGGCTTGAGCAGGCTATGGTGCAGCTGGTAGGTGTGGTTAGGTCCAATTAGGCTGCTACATGACCACGAGGGGGCCACCGGATTGGAGGACTAATTGGCAGCATCAGTATAAGCCCAGGCCCTAGGAGCTGAGCTAGCAGTTACACCTAGGGAGCCAGAGGAACAATATCACTCAGCCTGAAGATTGCAGTTCCCAGAGCACCTGGAGGTCAGGGTAGGTACTATGGGGATGGAGGAGGTTCCTGGTCCTGGGACATAACCTGAAACTACACCCTGCTGTGGTTGGATGGTGTGGTGGGACTACCTATGCTGGGGCAGTCTCCAGGAAATGCCATGCCTGTGCTTCCCCAGTGAAAGATGATGATGGGGTGCCAGAAAGCCTTAGCCCCTGATGCCCTGTGAGTACCCCACGGAGGGGAAAGGCTAGGGGAGCACACCCTGACAGAAAAGCACAGGGCCTAGGTGCATTGAAGAGGCCTGAGGCAGGGTCCGGGCAGATCAACAGACACCTGAAGCCTGAATGGGCTGTAGGCTGAGTTAAGGGCCCAGGGATGTCGACAGACACCTGAGGCCCAAGGGCCATAAACCCCAGGGCCCCAGTGAAGGGCAGAGCACTGGCCCCAGTAAAGGGCAGAGTACGGGCCCAGATAGGAGCCAGAGGCCAAGTTTAGCTGTGTGTGGGACACAAAGCCAGAGGCTGCATAGAGTAGGGTCTGTGGGGGCCTGAAAGACTGTGCATAGGCTGGCCGGAGTAGTGGCCCTAGTGAGGGGGGCAGAGAGGCCAAGGTACGTCTGAAGACCCCTGAGGTCAAATATGGGCTGGAGGCTGAGTGTGGCCCAGCTAAGGGTCCAGGGGAGTCAGAGGTGGTTTTGGATGTTATCTGTGAGGCATGGGACATGGTATAAGGGAAAGTACAAAGGCATGTATTTTGCTCTTGGCATCAGGGCAATTAAATGGGTAGCCTCCTGCATTTTTCCATCTATCTTGATATATCAGGGCGTGGCAGGTAAGACAGGTCAGACTGCCGTAGACAAGTGGGCAGGCTGATGTTGTGATCGGCCTCAAGATGGCCTCTTGTCATAGGGCCAGTGAGCCAGCTTTCACTGCTCCAGCTAGGAAGCAGAGGGGCAGGGCCTGCCCTGCTTCCTGGAGAAGATGGCACAGCCCAGCCCAGGGCTGCAAAATGCTGGGGTGCTGGGGCACTGATTTAATTTAAACCAGGAAGGGATCTGGGACAGAAGTTCCATAAACCAGTTTGACCTAAATCAGTTAAGTTTGATACTACATTCAACTAGGTTTATCTTAAATCAGTTTCAGCCATTTTCAAACTGGTTTATGTGCACTGAACTTCTATTCTGTTACAGGTTTAAACCAGTTTCTGATCACTTAAACTGGTGTATGTGTAACTTTTTTGTCCCTAGCCCTGGTGACACACCATTAGCCCTGTCAGTAGTTCTGCTCTTCATTCTGAAACCACAAATCTCTCTCTCCTACCCTCATGATCAGCCCCTTAAAGACCACTCTCCAACCTTACAATCCTACTTCTCTATTCTTCATAAGTCTCCCACAATCCCTCTCTTCTGCCCCTTGCTTCAACTACACTTTCCCCATGTCTCCTACCTTGCCAACAGGTCCAAGCATAGACACCAGGAGAATATTTTCTCTCTTCAATGGCCAGCTCACAGCTAGGAATTTGGCAGAGAGGCACCAAACTCAGACAGTCTGAGCACAAAAAGCCCCACATCATGTTAGCCTTGCACAAGATGTCCTTTGTATGTAAAGATGACTTGCAAAGTGGGAAGGTGGCACCTACTTGACTCTGCAGATTCCAGCTGGGTAAAATTTATCAGCGAATAGTAAATTGGCTACCAAAAATGTAATTTTGGTGAGACTGAAGTTATTTGTGAATTTTAGTTGGATTTGGTCAATAGTTCCAGTTGGGAGGAAAAAAAAAAAGGAAGAGAAAGTGGAAAACTTCAAAACATTTTAAGAGTTTCTAAAATGACTGTTTTGTTTTCTTAGAAATGCCAATATATTTTTCTGACATGTTCAAAAATTTTTTGTTTAAAAAATGCCCTAAATTAAGGAAGGAAGAAAAAGACACACAGATTGTGTCTACTCGTGACGCTATGTCATCCTAGCAATGTGTTATGGTGACATAACGTCAGTGGGTACAAATCATGACGCTGCAACTACATCACCATAGCAATACACTCCCTCACTATGGGCACATGACAAAATTGCCATTTTTAGAGGTTTAATTACCCTTTTATAGTGGTTTAATTGTGTTGCACATGACATGTGAGGTGATGTATTGTGATTTTAATTTATCACACTATAAATGTAAGGCGGCGTATTGCAATATAAATGACTGTTCGGTAGCAAACTAAAATGCATCCCAATGTATTTTATTTGGTTTCTAACAAATTGCAGTAATACATCCATCCCCAAGCCCACCTGGGCTTCCAGCACCCCATGCACGCGTCCCCACCACCTTCTCCAGCCGCCAGCAGACCCAGCTATCCTCCTGATGCCTTCCCACGCTGCCCCAGCAGCAGCCAGCCCATTTCCAGGTTCTGGGAAGGTGGTGGGGACAGTGTATGGGGTGCTGGAAGCCCTGTTGGAGGGGGGAAAAAGTGGCAAGAGGCCCAATTTGTTTTTTTTTTTTTTTTTCCTCTCCAGTGGAGCCTGCCTGCAGCCAGGGGGTGAGCTGCCAGTGGCATCGGAGCTGCTGGGGGCCCTGGTCCTTCCCCCTGCAGTGGCAGTACCCCAGGGGCCACCTGGCTGGGCTGCTAGCAGGCCAGCTGCTACCCCAGCTTGGAGCCAGCCCTACCGCAGCTCAGGGCCTGCTTGCAGCTCATCCCAACCCAGCCATGGGCAGGCTCCACCGAAAACTGAGCTGTATCTGTTGCTAATGTTACATGAATATCTTGTTCTTTTCTGTATACTTCTAACTACACCTACAACAAAAGTATATTTGGCCCCCTGTCCAACAGGACCACTGCTGAGCTCTTGTAGGCAATGATCCTAACTTAATTACAGGGGTTGTTCACAATCCGATTCTCTTAGAAGCTGTAAATTGTTGCAGATCTCTTGCCTTTGAAGTTGGTGTGCCAGTTTCCATAGATGAGGATCTAGCCCTAGAATCTAGTTCTGCACCTTAAGCTCTGTTGCACTTTACTGGATAGAAGCAGCTCTGTTAGTGTCACCTGATGCCTGATCAAGGAGAAAGGGACTTTTTCCTTAAAGGACCTTGACATATCAGTGTTGATGAACTGCCCAACACCATTAAAGCACTCATTTGTGCTCTCTCTAATGGCTTCTTTATGTGATCACTCAAATGTATACCCTGTTGAATAGCTAACACTCACAAAAACTTCCACTTGAAAGCTGAAAGACTTAATCCTCATCAATAATCATAATGGTTTTTTCTCCTTTCCTATGGTCCAATCTGGCACCACCCACACATCCACCTGCAGAAGAGCTAGAGTGATGGACACTGCTCCACCTCCCTGCAACAGATATCAAAGCTGATCAAAGGCAGAGCCCCCTGAGTGCTCTCTGACAGTACCACTGAGCCAAGATAGTTAACAATGGACTTTCACCCCCTCCTGTTCCCTGGCATCTGAGCAAAATAGAGCA